GCATGGGGCTGAGAACCACAAGGTCGGCAGCTCAAACCCACCAGTCACTCCTAGGAAATCCTATACAGAGTTGCTATGAGTCGGAACTGACTCAACGGCACTTAACAACCCAATCTTATAGTTTATTAAGTATGTAATGTTGTTGTCAAGTGCCGTCGAGTCGGTTGTGACTCATAGCAACCCTGTATAGGGTTTCCAAGGAGCAGCTGGTGAGCTTGAACCGCCAACCTTGCAGTTCAAACGGCTTTGCAGTCTGGTGCATTAATCCACAGTGCCACACCAGGACTCCAAGTATGTAATAGCATTATGAAAAATCGTAAGCATTACCAGAATGTGACACAGAAACACAAAGTAAGCACATGCTGGTGGGAAAATGGTGCCAATAGATTTGCTCAGCACAGGTTGCCAAAGCCCTTCAATTTGTTAAAAAAAAACACAACAGTTATCTTTCGAAGTGCAATCAAGTGAAGGATGATAAAATAAAATGAGTCATGCTTGCTTTGCCTATGCAAGTTTTGCTTAACCTCAAACAAAGCTAATTTGTAAAGGAGAGGATCACATTTACTTTGAAAGGCTGTTATTCCATGCCAGCACTGAAATCCAGTGGGCAGGAGTAGGTGGGACTGTGGTTTAAGAGCAGAGGCTCAGAGCCAGACTGCCTGGGATTATCTGAACTCTGCCCCTTACATGAGTGTGATCTTGGGCAATTTTATTAATTTAAAAAACCGCCTCAGTTTTCCATGTCTACAATATCAGAGCAATAAGTATATTTACCTCAGAGATATGTGATAAGAATTATAAATAATAAATGCAAGATATTTAGAATAGATGTTATTATTGCATTAAATTTTCTATATACTAGGAGAGAGCTACTCAGACCTGCTTTAGTTGGTTTTGTTTAGACTGTAGCTGCTAGGCCAGTGGTTAGTCCGAATTTCCTCTTCCCTCTCAAACTAGACACTCATCTTTCATTTTTTAGGAATATCCTCCGCTTAGTGTTCAAAAACTATTATTAGGGTTAGATTTTGTGTTCTCCTCCACATATGTTTATGTATACTTTAAAACAAAATCAATCAGGAATTATTCTTTTGGTGATCATTAATAAACACATACTTTAATGTTTCTAGCTGATTTATATTTAGATTATTTTCTTTCTGGATTATTAACAATTCTTGACCTGACAATTAAGGTCACAGAGGAATTCTTGACATCTGGATTTGGAAAGGAATAGAAGATGGAACGACAAACAAGAATTGCACACACTCTTGCACAAAGAAGTGTGATAAGAAGGAAGTGGCAAATCACTATGATTGGTCAAAGTATCTGTGCATGTGGCTTACTGGTTCTTATGACATGTTGGTATGCTTTCATCACTGTACTGGAAATTGAGAAAGTGATTTAGACAGGCCACTTGCCTGGCTCTAAGGTAATGTTGATTGAATCCTTTGGCTATGTTCATACACTTTGTTCCAGTTGTCTAACCATTTACATGGAACTCCTCAAATAGGCCAGTGCATCATTGGTAAGCCCACAAATGTTCTTAAGGGCCCTCCAACCACCCCCCAAATGTTCCTCTCTATTTCAGATAGTGATAAGATTCTGCCCAGAAGCCAGTTGTTCAAGAGGATGCAAAAAGACACTGTTTAATCCAGTCATCATAATGCAGTCGAAGTTATAAAACTGAGAAAAAAACAGGCAAATTGAGATTGACAAAACACTAACAAATAATCTGTATACATTCATGTTTCACTTATGACTTGTATTTCCTTTTGAAGATGAGTTGTTGTTGTTGTTAAGTGCCATAGAGTTGGGTTCCAACCCATATCGACTCTGTACAGGGTTTCCGAGGAGCAGCTGGTGAGCTTGAACTGCTGACCTTGCAGTTCAAACAGCTTTAGCAGTCTGGCACATTAACCCACAGCGCCACACCAGGACTCCTGGAAGATGAGTAAGATTGTGAAATTATAAAGCTATTTACATTTTGCTCTTCGATGGCATTTTTCTTTAATCCAAAGGCAGAAGGCAATTTTAAGAATGCTTTTTACATTAATCCACTTCAAGAGAGTTTATCAACCACAGAGATAAATATTTGGAGTCAGATATTTTCATACAAAAAAACACCTCGATGCATATAATTCTTAGGCTCAGCAGATGAAGAGAGAAGAATGCAATTATTAGTGTATTTCATTTATATAGTTGTTAGACGTCTCAAGTCATTTCCAGTTCATAGTTACTCTGCAGAAGGGTTCCGAGGCTGTTCATCTTTACCAGAGCAGAAAGCCTCATCTTTATTTATAGTTCTGTCAAAAGTACGTAAAACGTTTTTCTCCCAAGAACTAGTCCAGAGAACACTTTCATATAACTTGATCTGTATGTGTTTAGAGGTTGCTCATGTAGGTTATCACAAAAGCTATTCTAGCATAATTTAATAAGCTGAATTCCATGTATGACCTCTAAATGGCAGGCTGCCCCAGAAAGACAGGACTTCAAACACTGATTTCTGGCAGAAAGGTTAGGATTCAAAATACAAATGACAACAGGCTTCACGGGAAGGAAAAATTCATTCCTAAAGGTCACCAAACCCTAACTGTAAGAATGTCTCCACTCCGAGAATCCTCTGTTCCATCAAGAAAACCACTCATTCTCAAGGTTTAAGGTCCTAACTTAAGAAGTGGAAGACACACATTAAAAATTAATTTTTAACTTACAACTTACTCTATTTCTCTGTCTTTTCTCATTGTTCCTCTAATGCAAAATGTGCACCGAGAAATAAAAACCGTGTGTATCATTTCTACCAGACAACCTTATCATCTAAGGTGATGATGCAATCTTATGGAAGTCCAAAATAATCTTCAGATACACATTTAAAATATGTATTTAAGTTTGAACACAAGCACTGAAGAAAAAAAACAAAACAAAACAAAACATTTAATGAAGTTTTAATTAATGCAGTTAGTATTAGTGGAAAAATAAAACAAAAATTGAACTTTTATCAAACGATTTTCTCTTTAATAGGGAATCGTTCTGAGGTGCTGTCAAGTCAGTTCCGACTCATATGGACACATATACAAGAGAAGAAAGCACTGCCTAATTCTGCACCAGCTTCACAATTGTTGTTGCTACTGTCACAACCTATATCGCTGGGGGTGTGTGTGTCTTCCTCTAAGGAATTCCTGAGACCATACAAAGGAATTATCTGAGACTATATCTCAGCTTTTTCAAATTTTCTGTTGTTAAAGATTTACACCCTCGGAAACCCTGTACAGGGTCGCTATGGGTCGGAACAGACTCAATGGCACTTCACAACAATCACAACAACAATTGTTAAGTGCCATCGAGTCAGTTCTGACCCACAGCTACCCTGTATAGGGTTTCCGAGGAGTGGCTGGTGAGCTTGAACCGCCAAACTTGTAGTTCAAGCTGACTTTGCAGTCCAGCGCATTAGTCCACAGCACCACACCAAGACTCTAAGTTTTCTAGTCCTTTCCTAATTCTATCTGTCTCAGGATCTAAGGCAAAGATTTAAATAGACTCCTGGTTAAATACAGATGGATGCAGTGACCACCCAACATCCAGTATATTCCTTTGTCTGTGCTGTTGTTGTTGTGAGCTGTTATGGAGCTGGCTCTGACTCATGGTGGCCTTGTGTATAACAGAACATAGTACTGCCCAGTCCTGCACCATCTTCACGATGCTTGGTATGGTTGAGACTATTGTTGTGACCTAGGTCTCACTCCATTTCTTGGAGGATGTCTTCATTTTCATGGACCTTACCAAATATGCTCAGCTTTCTTAAGCAAAAGACTAGAGGTTTAAGTTCACCTGGAGAAGCCTCACAAGAAAGTCCAGGTAATCGACTTCTAAACAACAAACTGCTGAAAACCCTACAGAGCAGAGTTCTATTCTGATACACATGGGGTTACCATGAGTCAGGACTGACTCTGGGGTAACTGGTCATTTGTCTATAAAAAGTCATAAATTCAGCTAATAGGTTTTTCTATACTAATCCCTAAATATAACTAAAAACATATGATTGTTTTATAGAAAGTAAATGCCTAGATTTTATTTTTAAGAATCTCAAAATAACAAATTCCATTCATCCCACCACGGTCAAATGTCCTGCACCTTAACAATCCTCAGAGCCAAAATGAAACAGGGCTTCAACCAAATTCCCATTTCATAAGTACCTCTTCAGTTCCTATAAAAAAAGCATAATTCCAGATTGGAGAAAAACATGATTTAGGTACTTGCATCAACTCCTAGTACCCATTACCTTACTCTCCCATGCTAACAAGGCCTTTAAGAACCTTCAGGCAACATGGAACACCTTATTATTTACTTAACTTCGAACAGTGTTGTTTATCATTTATAAAAATCCTTGTAATACTTCCTGTGTCAGTTTTTTCTGTCTCATACGTTTCTGAAGCACCATGGGCTAATGCGCTAGATGGCAAAGTCAGTTTGAACCATAAGGTCAGCTGTTCAAACTCACCAGCCGCTCCTCGGAACCGACTCGACAGCACTTAACAACAACAACAAACATCTAGTGCAGGTGACATCTGTGCAGTGGAACAGGTTAGCCTGTTATCTTGCATGATCTGCATTTCAGTTGAAGGAACAGAAATTACTCCCTTACTTTATAAGAATGTGGTATTTTAAAGATACATGAAAACCCAGAATCTTTTGCAATCAATGTATAGTACTGGAAAACAACCTATTCGTATAAGAATTTTGACTTTCAGAGGAAAATAAAATTCAGATCATACTGACCTGCATTTTATAACTTTTCTTCAGATCTCTTTAGTAACTATTTAGCCACAATAGCCTTTTAGTGAATGCTTTGGTTGTCAGGCACTATTCTTATGCAAAGATTTAAAAAGGCATTCAATTCATAGTCTCTACAGACTGAAACATAATGGGTTAAAAAATAGTAAAACAATGCTAAATCGAGTGCAAGGAATGTGGTTCACCCTTTGGAGAAGTCATCTAAAATGATCCGATCAATCATAACTTTCCTTTTTCTCTGCAATAATACACCAGTTTCCATGATCATTCCCAGAGCTCAGAATGTGGAGCTCAGACACATTCTCCATCAGCAGGCCATAGAGCTCGCCTTCCCGAAACACATGGTAGTAGCGCATAAAGGATCTGGAATCCAAAGTGTCCGGCTGTTGTTCTCCCACAGGAATTGTGTCATCTGGGATGGAGTCTGTGGAATCGACTGTAGAACTCTTTCTCAATATCTTACTAGCAGAAGGGTTACTTTCTTCTAAGTTATGTGCACCAACACAATTTTCATTGGTGCCCTTGAGAAAATGATTATCTCCACTTTGCCTAATTTCTTGATGGTCTTCATTTAAATGCGTCAGTCTGCCTGGTACTCTCGGCCACTGCATGGTTTTCTGGGAAGAAGTTTCCACAAACACTTCCTCATCTAAAGTGTGTTCTTTTGTTGAAAATGGCGCTTGGCGATCTAAGTCTAAACTTGAATGTCTGGAAGGCTGAACTGAGATAGTGCTATTGGCCCAACTTTCTGTGTTTTTCAAGGGTCTCACCTTTTCAATGTGCTTCCTCAAAGCTGATTCATCCAAAGATCTAGAAAAAAACCAAGAACGAAAAGATTTCCCTAATGTATTATAGAGCCCATTTTCTTCCACACCGTCTTTAGAAATATTTACACAACAGGTTCTACCCAGAGAGTGGTCCATGCTGTGAGACTGTTTTGAATCACATCTCTCTTTAAAGCAAACAGAATAGCTACATTCAGAGCAAGGAGAATGGTAGGAATGGCTTGTTTCTGCATGTCCACACTGCCTCGTTCTCCCAGATTGGCGGGACTCTGAGAAGATCTGGGAACATAAGGCCCTATTCCATGGAACAAGCACATCTTGTTTCTCAAAGTGTCGGTTCTTTTGTTCCATAGCCCAAACATAGATCATAAGCTGACCTCCAGGAGTTAAGACCCTGGCCATTTCTTTTATTGCTCGGATTCTTCTTTGTTTTGTAGAGAAATGATGTATGACTGAAAAAGAAAGAAAGAAAGAAAGAAACAGATGTCAGTGTGTATACACACAAACATACGTACTTGTATACTAGTATTACCTGTGCAACCATAATCAAATGTTTACATATAGTGGTGGTGGTGGTTATGTGCCATGGAGTTGGTTCCGACTCATAGTGACCCTGTTCAGGGTTTCCGAGGCTGTAAATCTTTATGGGAGCAGAAAGCCCCATCTTTCTCTTGCGGAACAGCTGGTAGTTTTGAACTGCTGACCTTGCAGTTCACAGCCCTATTTGTAACCACTATGCTACCAGATGGTAGACAGAGCCTAGTTTTAAACTCAAACTAAATCCACTGCTATTGAGTGGATTCCAATTTACAGTAACCCTAGAGGACAGAGTAGAACTGCCCATAGGGTTCCACCAAAGCGGACTGCTATGTCTTTCTTCCACAGAGTGACTGGTGAGTTCCAAATGCCAACCTCTGGTTAGCAGCCACACACTTTAACATTGAATCACCAGGCTTCAGAGCCTAGGTTTGTTGTTATTGTTGTGGTTAAGTATTGTCAAGTCAGTTCTCACTCATGGCAATCCTGTATAGGGTTTCCAAGGAATGACTGACTGGTAGGTTTGAACCACTAGCCTTGTAATTAGCACTCCAGTGCTTATCCTACAGCACCATAATAGGGCTTCAGATCCTAGGTTTAAGAAATACATCATTTATAGCTTTGGCTCTTCTACTTATTAGATCTTGGATAAGTTATTTAAGTTCTATAGATTGAAAATTTCTTCATCTACAAATAAGAAGTCTAGAATCAATCAATCACTCAATCAATAAAAATAAATCGTAACTCTTCCAGTTCCAAAATTCTATGAATTTTGTTAATCAGAAAGATGGCCCATATGAATTAATAAAATTTTAAAGAGATTCCTAAATTTGTTGTTTCTTGGTAGAACTGTATGAAATAACTTATTGTTCTAAGGAATAACTAGCATTTCTAAAGCAGACCACTGTTGTTAAGTGAGGTTGAGTTGGTTCTGACACAGCAACTCTGTATAGTGTTTCCAAGGAGCAGCTGGTAGGTCTGAACCAATGATCTTGTGGTTGGCAGCCCGGTGCTTATCTTAAAGTGTTAATAAAATTAATAAAGCAAGTAGAAGTAGAAAACATTATAAAGAATGCTTTCTGTTTTGATAACACAAAAACAGTCAACCCAACAT